CTATCATCCCAACTATGCAAGTCGCTACGAATTTATCCAACGGCAATAATCGAAGGTTGGACAGAATATATTTATCCCAAAATACAATGGATCAATTACATAGTTTCCAACTTATCCCGCGTGTACGTTATATACGCTCCTCTCACATAGGGGTGGGTTTAAAACTTATCACTCAAACACACAACGTAAAGATCAAAGTAGGCAAAGGCAGGTTTTTCTATAAGGAAGCGCCAACAGTGATTTTCCAAAATCACCAACCAAACAATTTCCTGTCATTACTCAAATATATGAAAGCCACATCCCAATTATTTTCTAGAGCAACATCGATCATTCAGAAAATTACAGGAATTGGTCATCACGAAATTGAAGAAGATGTGTGGGACAAAGGTCGATACCTTTTCCATGGAACTGAACACTCACACGTCACCACAAAAATGAAAAACGAGACAGAAACTCAAGTGGGATCCACTACAAAAGTAATTTTTGAAATAGCCACCGAATTCTATGCAAGACTCTTTGAACCCCCCCATTGAAATACCTGAAGACGATAGAATTGATGAATATTTAGAGGATTTCGATAGGCAAATCACAACAGAGGTCCAGCGGGATTTAGATAAACCCTTTGAATTAACAGAGTCGGAAGTGGCATTAAAACAATCAATCAATAAATCTGTACCTGGTGAAGACGGGTTTCCCTATTCTTTTTACAGTTCTCATTGGGATATGGTCGCCGACAGTCTATTGAAGGAAGCAAATCAATTAAGAATAACAGGAGTATTGTTCCCGATGTTTAATAAAGTATTAATATCGCTCATCCCAAAAAAAGAGTCATCCACACGAATAGATCAACAACGACCTATATCGTTGACCAAAGTATCAACCTCGGAAAAATAATTCATACACAAAGACAGACCAGCATAATCCCAGGATTCCAATTATCAATCGAAGCTGAATAATAGTTATCGAGACAAACCCTTTCAACAATCATATCACCCGAAATCAGGAAAAGATCAATGCCCCTTTTTCTATAGGAGAAGAGAAAAATATTATAGATTCAGAAAACCTTGGAACGGAAGAACTAGGAGATATACCAGACGCCACCGTGGAAACCTGAGATACATTCGGAGTGTCGAAATTTTTGACTATGTGGATGGTGAAAGCGATGATCAGGAAGACGAAGATTCCGATGAAGAGTTTCTTTAATTTGTCGCAATTGAGCTTCATCTAAATTTTCTAATGACAATGGATTGATTTGGAGTTCCTGAACTTTAACTGCATGGGACACAGGAGAATCATCGTTAAGAACTTCAGCTTCATCTAGTATTGCTTTGATCAGAGTGACTTGATATCTGGAAAGGATATCTGCCATAAAGTTTTTCTGACCTGGCAAATATAATAACTTTGGAGAATATGCACCTAAAACATCTAAAAATCTAGCAACACGAAGTGGGGGTGGTGCTGCTTTGTGAATGGATAACGACTGATGGTCGGAGTACACTTCCACGTTTCCATTACAAAGATAGTTAAACTTCTTTAGGATTGTGATAATGGCAAGGAGTTCTTTTTCCATTACGGAATACCTTGTCTGGGTTGGAGTAAGTTTAAATGAAGCGAATGATATTGGAACTAAAACTTCTTTTCCATCAATATTTTGTGGTTGGCAAATAAAGCCTCCAATAGCTCGATC